TGCAATATGCGTTTTTGCTGCCTGTTGCAGCGCTTTAGCGCTGCACGGCAAAAACGCATAAAAAGTTAACATATCTTGCCTGTTTTTATGCATTTTTTGCATGCAAAAACGCATGTTGTGGCGGGGTGCGTGTGTTTTTTGTATGTTGTCCGCATATTTCACTTTCCAAACCTATGAAAGCTATGAAGCTTAAATTTTAATGGCATATTCATCACTACGTACCCAGATCTCCATGCATAAAATGTTCTTTCATGCGTCCTCCCTCCCCATTCTCCAGTTCTTACGTACGGACAAGTGGAAGGTTTTTTTTGGCAACAAGACGATTTCAGAGGTCAGACAAGCTAAAATGTTGAAACCTTGCAAGAATATTCCCCACCTACTACAAGAGACCCAGAGAATTTAAATTCAGTTTTCACGCACGTCTGTGCCTTACGTACGGACAAATTGTACAGGTTGGCGACTCGTTAATTCGTTAGCAGAACTCCGCAACCAAAGCAGCTTGGGTGCTTAGGAACATGATCCACGAGCACATCTGGGTAAGCATATATGAGAACAGCTTTCATGTCTTCCTCATCTCAATTGCGGTACAGCATGGCGCTGACGATTTTGCATGACATCCAAACACTGTGCAAAAAACTAAAATAATAGCGGGTCCGAATCTGGCCTGCATTTTTATTCACTTAGAAGTATCTGTTCGATAGTGCTACATAAGAGCCTGTGGGGAACACTGTGCGTTTACACCAGCAAATCGGCTGCGCATCACTACGAATTTATTCATCGAAATCGTGAATTAATTTCATCATTCGCCCAAAAATATCATGAAAATTGTGCAAGAAATGAATACCTGTATTCAACAAATCCGACGCGAACAATGTCTGGTGACAAATCGAATGCTTCATCAATCAGTGTGCTGATTCCTTCCTTTAAATTAGCATATTCATCAGGCGTTATGTTGTCGGAGGAGTCCAGGACGAACATTACATCGGCCTGAAATTTATTCTCCCTTCATAACTGCCGAATAACTGTAAAAGATAAAACAGCTTTAAGTAATATCAGTAATTAGTTTAGTCAGGCTAGTTACATAGGTTTATGAAGTAAAAATGAATACATACATATATATATACATATATGTATATGTCTATATATATATATATATATA